ATCAAAATGTAGAGACCACTGTTCAGTTTTTTAGTTTTTCACTATCTCTTTTTTCAGTTTAGAAGCTTCTTTAAATAACAATTTATAAACTTCAGCTTGACTGGGTGTTGGAATTTCAACACCATCGAGTGCCAATTGCTTGGAAATTTTGGTAGCTTTTCTTGTTGATACTGTTGTTGATGTCACTAAGTAAGAATCGTTCAATATTAAAGTAAATTAAAGAATGATTTTAAATTAAAGATGAATTAAAGTAAATTATTTTAATTTACTTTAATTCATCGACCACTCTCCTGAAAATATATGCAAGCACAAATACATATATATATATATATATATATATATATATATATATATATATATATATATATATATATATATATATATATATATATATATACCCATATAGTGTAGCTTTAAGAGCATTTTAATGTAAAAAAAGTCTCTTACGACTACAATTTTAATTACCTCGTCTCTTAAGCTGTTTTTGATTGTCATCGAAATGTCAAAGCAATTAATTTATGCGGAAGTACATTAAATTTAATTGTTTTTTAAAAATTTTTTAAAAAACCGCAGTTATAACGACTAGAAAGTTTTTTTTAATTAGTGGTGTTTTTGTTATTGATTTAATAAAAAACATTTTTAAAACATGCGTAAATGTTGCTACATCGACTATCTTATAGCCTGACTTGCAACAGAGTGCTGCTACATCGACTGACAAATAGCCTGACTCGCAACGGAGTGCTGCTACATCGACTGACAAATAGCCTGACTCGCAACGGAGTGCTGCTACATCGACTGACAAATAGCCTGACTCGCAACGGAGTGCTGCTACATCGACTGACAAATAGCCTGACTCGCAAGGGAGTGCTGCTACAACGACTGACAAATAGCCTGATTCGCAAGAGAGTGCTGCTACATCGACTGAGGGTTTGATTTCGCCAGGCAGTCTATCAATTAAAAAAAAAAATTTAATTTTTAAAACTTTTTCTGGTCTGGTTTATTAACGCGCTCTTTAAAACTACAGTTTATAGGAAACATTTTTTGATGCCACGCAAGAGACATGCAAGAGTATATATATATATATATATATATATATATATATATATATATATATATATATATATATACATACAAATAAAAAAAAAAGTATATTATTAACTGTTTATAATCATGTTGAAGGTATATAGTTAGTAAAAAACATTTTGAAAAAAATTCAAGCTTGTAAATATAACTCAGCTGCACTGTTTCCCAGGATATCAAATTTTTTGGGAGTACTTAATACGATAAATTTAAAATCAATAACAAGTTTATGCTCTATTGATGACAAGCTTAATAACATAATTTCTGCTTGTCTTAATCCAGAAGAAGATCTCTAAAATGGTCAATACAAGACATTTTTAACTTTTAATAACCGAGACTCTAAAGAAGGAGGGATCAAGTGCAGCAACCAAGTGCCATCAAAACAGGGATATCAAAGCAGTCGTTAGTTGACCTTTTTTTTCCAATGATTTTCCACAATGATTGATTGTTCTGATTTCTTCTTCACTAATTATTACATGTTGTTTCAAAAACATTTTTTAGTAAAATAAGTGTGATGGAGGGGTAGAATTTAGCGATGTCAAGTTTTCAAACCATTTGATAACTTCAGCGGTATTTTTCCACTTGTTTAATTTCAATACATTTTTTATAGGTTAATTGATTTTGTCTAAATAGGTTCTGCTTACAATGCCAAGTTTGCTCTTTGCTGGATTTAGTAGGCGGCAGAGTTTGTGTTTTGGAAATTGATTGTGGTCCTTCAGTGTTAAGAACACTTCTGATCTGTTAATTATTTTAGATTTATTAGATAAATTTAGTGTTGTTGCTATGCTTTTTGCTTCGAGGTTTATAGGATTTTCAAGTTTTAACAGAGCTTTTTTATATATAAATAAATATGCAGTTAAATATATAAAAATATGATATATATACATATATCTTCATCTAGCACTCTCCTGAAGATATATGCAAGCACAAATACGTATACATACATACATACATATATATATATATATATATATATATACATATATATATATATATATATATATATATATATATATATATATATATATATATATATATATATATATATATATATATATCTTGTTTTAAAGCATCAACTGGCAGGCAATTTATGTAGGCTATAAGCTGTTTTACATAAGCAGTAAGCCATTAGTAGTCAGGTCAGATTATCCTGCTACTGGTAACATGTAACCCCGCACAATCTGCTTCATGTCCTATCTTTGTAGGAAACGCTTTTTTAGACAAAGGCAAGGAGAAGCCAACACTGACTTAAAACACCCCCTGCCTTGAGGCTCTTGGTTAAGTAAAGACTAGAGGTGGTGTCTCAATAAAAATACTCATCTTGGGCAGATGTTAAATGCATCCATCTACTGTCTTGTAGAAGGCCTCCTAGGCAAAGACTTAAGGGATAAACAGATTCTATTTTTTGACCAGCCTCGCACCTCTTCCTCATCTATTAGGCACAGATTTTTAATACATTGTTTCCAGTTTAGGATATTGAATGCTGGATCTTCTTGACTAAATGTATAGATTTTGCTTGTGTCTCTGTTTTATAACAAGACATAAAACAGAGACAAACTCATTTTATTATCTCCTAATGAGGGTACAGTCCTAAAACTCAGTTTTATGGTTCTGAGGCCGGCTAATAGTCAGGTTTCCCGAACTCTGCAGTAGCTCTCAGAGAGGCTGATTCCATCAACAGCTAAAAAATATCAGAGAACTAACAGTGCCATGTTATGTATGGATGGTGTCCCTGTTTGTACTTTTGGTGTGCATTGTCAAGGCCACATTAGGCTCTTTGTTATAACTTAGGGTTAATTAATAGTAATGAGGTAATTGCTTGGGCTATTGAACAGTGTACTGAGTACTATCTAAGCTTCAAGTCAAGTTCTTTAACAAATTTAAAAATAAATAAAGTAACAAAAACTATAAAACACAAAAAACCACTGCCATCACCAAGTTCTCTAAACCTATCATTTACTAATATTCGTGGTCTTCGAAGTAACTTTTCTTCTGTTGAGTCTTATCTCTTGCAAAGTTCACCAGGCCTACTTGCTCTTTGTGAGAATAATTTGAGTTCAGCTGTCTCATCTTGTGATCTTAGTGTTGATGGTTATCTTCCTTTAATTTATAAAGACTCCAATAGTCGCATACTTGGCCTGAGCATTTACATTCGTAAGAATTCACCCATTTGTCGGGAAACTAGGTTTGAATCCACAGACTACTCTTTTATGTGCTTTCGTTTAGCACCACTTCACTCTATCACCTTTCTCTTTGTTCTATATCGCTCTCCCTCATCTCAAGACTGCACTCTTCTTGATGTTATTTCTGATCATATTGACCAAGCCTTCTCTCTTTATCCACCAGCCAATATTGTTGTTGTCGGTGACTTCAATGTTCATCACACTGAATGGCTTGGCTCTAGTGTCAGTGACTCTGCAGGCATTAAGGCCCACAACTTTTGCCTTTCTCAATCCCTAACTCAAATAGTCAACTTTCCAACTCCCTTTCCAGATAACCCGAATCATTTACCTTCTCTACTCAACTTATGTCTTGTTTCTGATCCTAGCCAGTGCTCAGTTTCTCCACATTCACCCTTAGGTGCCTCTGATCACAGTTTGATCTCTCTAAAACTATTATCTCATTCTCCTTTATCGTCAGAGTTCCCCTATCATTGTACCTCTTACAACTACCTTGAAGCTGATTGAGACTCTTTCTGTAATTTTCTTCATGATGGATAGAAATTTGACAAATGTACTTCTTACATAACTTCATGGATTCAGGCTGGCATGGAATCCTTTATCCCTTCTCGACGATACCAGGTCAGGTTCTCCATGGTTTTCCTCACAGTGTGCTGCTGCAATTGCCAATCGAAACCATTACTTCCATATCTATAAGCAAAACAATTCTCCAGAAAACAGACGTCTGTTTATTACTGCTAGGAATCATTGTAAAAAGGTTTTGTCTAAGGCCAAAGTCCGCTATTCTCAGGTCATGAAATCTTGAATTTCATTACAAAAATTAGGCTCTAGCAACTTCTGGAGAATCTTTAATAGCATTATTAATAAGGGAATTCCACCTCTCTTGTATGGTTCAGACTTTGTCACCTCACCTAAAGCAAAGCTGAATTGTTTGCTAAGAACTTTTCATTAATATCATCTCTTGATTCCACAAGTTGCATTAAATAATGTCATTTGTGTATTTTAAAGTACCACATTGTAATTAAATTCAATTTGAAACCATGTTAAAAATTTTATTTCTTCATCTTTATAAAATTTTATAAAATATTTTAAATTAAAATATTGTTATAAAAAAAATTATCAATTAAATTTAAATGTTGTTTTAAAAAAAAAAAAAATTTCCTTAGTTTAAAAAACTTATACTTTTTTTCTTTAACATAGTTAGGAAGTTTTAGAATTAAAAAAAAAAAATTGTAAAACAAAACGCTTTAAATTTTTTATTATTTAATAAAAAAATTTAAAAATAAATTTAAATTTATTAATATTTAATAATAAGTACAATTTTAATATAATAAAGTAAATTTAAATTGAAAATTTTTTAAAAATGGAAAGTAGAAAAAAATTTATTTAACTATCTGTTTTTATATCTAAAAAAATTATTTAACAACTGCCATTAAAATGTTTTTTCCAACAATTAATTACTGATTAATGTTTTCTGCATAAACTATTTTAAAAGACCGTTTAAATAATCTATTTGAAAAAAGTTTTGGTGTAAGGTAAATGGCTTAACGCATAGTTAAATTTGCCATTTTGTACAAAAAATTCAAATGGCATAACGCTTCTTAACAAGGCCTAAAACTATATACAAATCGCATAACTTTACAGCATTCATATGTACTATACACAACTCGCATAACTTTACAGCTTTCATACATACTATATACAACTTGCATAACTTTTACAAAGATTTAAAAAAGTTACCTGTGATGCATATTGTATTACAAGATTGTGCAGAGTTCTTAAACGAGCAGGAATTTCATAGACACCAGTATTATTAACAGAACTTGTAACAGAAGAAACTTGACTGAGTGCATCATCTAAATTTGAAACATTTATTTAAAAGCTTAAAAATATCAGAGCCAGTCAGAAACCTTTGTTTCAAACCAATATGTAATTCTAAATGTGCTGGAATAAATAAAAAAAATTAGGAGCAGGTACAAACAAAGAATTAAGATCGTAGCAGGAACAGAGAATTTACCTGCTGGTATAAGCAGGTATATTTTCTGTGAATTTACATTTGATGTCTTATTTGCCAACTTTCTTGAACACATTTTAATGCATGCATTTATTTATAAAAAAAATTTTCATAAATTTGTATAAAACATTTATACCAAATTATTTTAATAAAAATTGTAAATTAAAAAATAAACTTCTGAAAATAATACATAAATTTTTTTTTTCAATTTAATAACAGTAATTATTGTGCATTAAATAAAATGTCTTTATAGTATACCAAGATGTTGTACAGTTCAATATAATTCAGTGGTTCATACTGACTCTAAAGTGCAATTTGTGAATGAGACTTTCATCATATATATGTACAAATTTGCACATATTTTTAAAATTAAAATAAAGTAAAAAAATGTATTTAACCTTCATCTTTATCAGAGTCATGACCATCATCTGGAATGTCCTCATGGAAATCACTATCGATTCCTTCATCTGGCTAAAAGTAAAAACAAAAACAAAAACATTTATTTTGATTATCTTTAAAAAAAAATTTTTTTTTAATCTTTTATTTTTGCTTTGTGATATTGAAAAGTTTTACAGCATGTTAAGCAAACTTTTTGCTTACCATGCTATAATCTCTCCGTAGAGAGATTAAAGCAAACTTAGGGGCCATCCATAAAGTACATACGCAGGTATGGGGGAGGAGTTTTCAAAAGCGTACGAACACGTACAAGGGGGGGAGGGGTGTTAAAGACAGTGAGTACGTATGCGGTTGACTATATCTTATAAACTTGATTTTATTTTTTTTTAAACATTAAATATCACGTGTGTAACAAATCAGAGTTGATTTTTTTCTCTGACTTTAGTCACAATTTTTTTTTAATAATCTCTATAACATAGAAAAAAAATCGAGTTCATTTAAAAAATAAAATTAAGCGTACGTACGCAGAAAGGGAGGGGGCCTGAAAAAGCGTACAGGTTCGTACAAGGGGGAAAGGGGAGTCCTAAATCAGTGGTTTTACTGCGTACATACTTTACGGATGCCCCCTTACCATTTTAACTATTTGTTTGCAGTTTTTTGCACAATCTATATATATAGACCAGGAAAAAAAAAGAGACTTAAAGCTCAAGACCTTTTGGACTTCTCATCCCTGGTTATAACTAATAATTATCTTTTTCAGATAGCCGGGCAACTGACTGGTATTTTTTATGCAAATTTCAGTTGTCTTTCTTTTTCACTGACTTTCCAGAGGACTAACTGTCCTGTACTGTTAGATTAATGTAATTTTACATCACTACAATGCAAACTAAAAATAAGAAATTAGGTCAAAAAAACATTTTTGTTAAAAAGGGAAAGGTCAAGAGTTGTACTGCTAGATATTACTTTTTATTCAAACATAAAAAAGTTACGAAAAGTAACCATATACAAAAAGTAACCATATACAAAAAGTAACGATGTATGATCTTGTATGTCTTTTTTGCATTTTTTTTTTTTTCATACCCATTTTTTGCATGACAGGAAACCATTGTTATTATTTTAGCTAACATGCCAATAACAGGTTTACTTTATGTTTTCTATTAATTTAAGATTATCAATAAAATTCAAAAAGTATGTAAAGTGATGTAAAATCTGAAAAGTTTAGTAATTGTTTTGTTGTACTGAGGTTGCAAGGTGGCAGTGGGAGTGTTGAAATTTGCTTAAATTTTAACAGAGTGTGTGTAATATTTATATAGACTGACTCAACCAACACACTTAAATAAAGATGCTGGAGAGAACTAGATGGTAAAATCTTGATTAATAAATGGTGGGAGTTTCAACAAGATATGGCGTCTCCCTACACAGCTTGTACAGTCAAAGCAAAAGAAAATTAAATAAAATAGCTTTATCAAGCCTTCCCAGGAAAGGTATTTGGCATTTCATCTTGTATGTCCACAGATAAGTTTTTTATTTTAGACAATTTGGTCATGGCCATTTGCAAGTTTCATTATATTAATTGTTGCAGGAAAAAATGAAAGTTTCAAAAACAAAGAAAGCAACACTAACAAAATAGGAAATTAAAAATAATTTAAATAGAAGAAAAATTACCATTAATTTAAATAATTTGTGTACTGTTTTTATTTTTGCTTCTTTAGTGATATTCAGCAACGAAATTGGATAAGGCACACGGCTGTTTCACTCAATATAAAAGCGAGCCTGACGTCACGAGTTTATCAAAAAAAAAAAGTATTTCCGCATAAAAAGTATAAAAATTCATTAACTTTAAAATAATAGTATTTTTTTTCTATAAATGCTTTCATCTTCAAATAAAAAAAATATAAAAGATCTATCTTTCCTTGTTAAATAAACATTTACATTAAACGGAATAAAAATGAAAGCTGTAAAAATATTGTTAATAATTTGGCATCACTTTTCTGATTTTTGCGATTTTTACGCAAAACCTGTCTTAGGCCAACTAAGATTTGATAACATAGCTACATGGTCGATGGTTGAAATTTAGAACAGTTATTAATGAATGTCTGTTCTATCTAGATTTCCACAGACTTTGCAAGTTTTTATATAGAAAGTTAGTTTTTAATGCATTTATATTTTTGTTTTTATTCGTTTTGAATAAAAAACATGACATTTTTGAAAAGTCTGTGGATTTAGTAATACTTCAACCTTATATGAATAAGAAAATCAAAAAATTATTTTCTGTACCTCTAGCTATGTTATCAAATATGTTTTCAAACTTGGCATGTTTAGCGACATTTTTTTTAGTTTTTTTTGCATAAATTCTTGTTTACATTTTAAAGCGGTGACGCAAACTCTGATCGTTACGTCCCCAACGATTATCGGATGCATTTTAAGAAAACAAACAAAATAAACGAGACACATTTTATAGAATAAATAACAAAGTTTCGCGGATTAATTTCTCTTGGATATTTGACTAATTTCAGATAAGGTGATCAATCCGATTTTATCTAGTGCATCTATTTGTCAATATTATTCTATTTAAGTTGTTTGTATTATAATTTTATTACTATATCAATAAAGATTATAAAGCAAAGTTTCGTGGATTATTTCCTCGTGGATATTCGACTAATCTCAGATAAGTTGCTTAATTCTTTTATTTTTAGTGTATTTATTTGTAAATATTATTTTATTTATTTTCTTTTATTATTATTATAATATCATTATCATTATTTATGTGATGTATGCAACTGAGAGGGAAATTTTGAAACTGTACATCGGTTGGGAAAATGAGTATAACTTTAATTTTGTAAAGCGAGTAATTGACACTAGTAAGATCACTAACAATGTGATTTCAATTTTATTAACAGTTTTTCATCCAAAAGCGTTGTTTACTTTTTTAAGTTTTCTTTTGCCAATTGAGTTTAATATGCATAATATTGATGTGTTAAATAAAATGTGCCGAAAAATAAAACAAAGAAAAAAAGATTCTAAAAAGTATTTTGAAGCTTCAAAAAACGAAGCATTTTTTAAAATGCAACTGTCTCCAGCTCCACAAACAAAAAAAATCAGCAGATGCAGATAATTTTTATATTTTAAATAGGAATAAGGAACTAAATAGTCAAGTTGAACAATTAATTTCTAAAAAAAAAATAATGTGGAGCAAATAGATAATTTAAAAATACAGGTATCAAAGTTGGAAACTGAAGTTATATATTTAAATTCTAAAAACAAGGCTCTCAACGCACATTGTAACTCATTAAGTTCTCAATTAGAGACTATGAGTATTAGGCTAAAACAGGAGGAGCAGTTCCAACTTTTAAAAAAAAAAAAATTAAAAACAGCACACCCTAAATTTGCATCTGCTCGTGCCAAAAATGTAAGATTGCTAAAAAAATTTAAATTTGAAAAAAAAAATGCAAAAATCAGTGATATAAACAAGAACAGTTGCCAAATTTGCAAATATTTTGCTAGCAGTGATAAGGATTTAGTTGTCGTTGATTCTTATTTAGACTATGACAACATTGGTTCCTCTGAATTATTCTGTGGGTTTAAATTAAGTAATCCACAGACTATATCAGTTAAAAAGCCAATAGTTGGTAAGAAATATACTTACATTAAGTTAGGAGATGGTAAATCTTATTCTAAGTTAGGTAGGCATGCTGCAGCTAGACGATCTAAACTTGCTTTTATATTCCTTCGATTATTAGCTTGTTCAGATTTGGAAAGTGATTTGTCTATGTTGTTTTGTGATTCTGTGTCTTGTGAAAAGTCTATGTTTCATTGTGTTGCAAAAAAGTTGGGTTTAGTTAGGCAGTTAAGTGTTTCTGATGCTGTAGAGCTGCAGAGCCAATTAAGGATGCCCACGGCTGAATTCCGTAGGCTAAGACGTATTCTGTGTAATCTTGGTGCAAGGATTCTCCCATCTGAGCCCAAGATAAGACAAGAACAAGAAATGCGGACAATGCATGTTAGTAAAGAACATGTTACTGTAAAGTCCATGTTGCTTTATCCATCTGCGAATTAAGCATCTTGTTAAGTTCCTGTATTGATGGTCAAGAATTTGATAACTTATATTGAAGAGGTTTTCAATAGTCTGCACGTTCGTGACCACTTAAATTCTGATGTCGGTTTTTGCGAAGAGGTATGGCTCCTTTTTGCTGGGGATAAGGGTGGGAAGTATATGGGATTCCATTTTGAAGTTGTCAATTCTAAATCATCAGGGTCTGTATATGATGTTCATTTATTTTGTATGTATCAGGGTTCAGACTGTCGTGAGAATATTGTCCTAGTTCTCGGGCATTATGCCAACGACATTAAAAGAATTCAGTCGTCAGATTTTAAGCTAAAAGGCAAAATAGTCAGGTTGTTCTTAGGTGGAGATTTTCATTTTATCGATGATGTTCTGGGACACCAGGGTTCAGCTGCTAGCTTTCTTAGTTCTACAGACCTAGTTAAGTTGAATTCTCTAAGAAACCATGCTTCTATGCCTCACACACCTGCTAATTGTAACATCTTAAGGAGGACAATACAATCTCTGGAAAGTGCTTACAATGAGAACTTGTGTGAAGATAGACAAGGTGGAAACCTAAGAGCTCTAGGTAAGTTTCATAATTCAATTAAGAAACCACTATAAACTTTGTAGTGTTATTGATGATGAAGCAATTAAAAATAGATTTGTACGTGTGTTTAGTGTTTTTAATAACTTGCAACCTATTCTTTTTAAGCGAAAATTTCTTTTTGATGCCGAAATTTCTGAGCTTCATCAATATATAAATTTATTTGCTATTGAGTTTCATGCTTGCTTTCCAAAAGAAAGTATTACGCGAAAAATGCATGAACTCATTTTCAATGTGCCACTATTTGTAAAATTGCATAAAACTATTGGGTTGCTGAGTGAAGAGGAGAGAGAGTGTTTGCATAATAGCGTAAATAAGGAATTAAGGCAGTTGCATTCAGTTAGAAATCAGGAGCAAAAGCTGCATCTTGTTTTAAAACGCTTTGAATTGCACAGCAAAGCTGATAGGAAGCTTCAAGCCTCTAAGGTGAGAAAGTGTGTTGTGTGTTCAGAGCGTGGCAAAAATTCATTTTATAGACAAGGTCTTTGTCTTGTTTGTGGTCATCAAATTTAGTTTAAATGTTTGAAAAGTTAAAAAAAAAATTAAACTTTTTACATCTAAGATAAATTATATAAGATCCTTAATTTACAAATAAGAGAATTCTATTCTGTTTTAATGCCTGTAATGTTTGTTCAAAATAATAATAATTTTTTATTACAATGATTTTATATATTAGGTAGATGCCCATTCTGTTCCTATTTTCAAAAGTTTATTATATCTATGCAATGCCTTTGCTCAGGTTAAAGAATGGAATAAAAGTCTAGCATCAAATGTATAGCTAACTATTTTAATTTGTGATCAGAGCAACTGGTATGTTTGTTGGATATGATTTTGTATGTTTATGTAGTTAATTCAAAAAACGTTTTATCCTTTGTTATGTAATATGTAACATTTTTTATATATATTAGATCTCCGTTCAATTTTTATCATCAAAAGTTAGTTCTACCTTTGCAGGACCTCTGCTCTACATACCTCCTCTCTGGTTAAAGAATGGAATATAAGTCTCATTTATCAAGTTGGTGTAAAAATTTAGCTTGATAAATTAAGAAGTTATAAACTTTATTATCACAATTGCCAAGTTGACCAAATGTTCTTCTGGTTTTAAATGAATTATGTATGAGTCTAGTATCATCTGGGTGTTCAAAGATAGTTTACTGCTTGAAGAACTTATCAATGGACCATCTAATTATAAAACAGTTTTTAATGAAAATAAAAACGAATTATCAAAAGATTTAAATCAGCTATTTGTGTATATTTAAACACTTTATTTGTGAGAAGAGATTACTGATATAAGTACCATAAAATAATTCTACTACCAAAAGCTAGGTTAATTCAAAACCTTTAACTCAATTTTGGTCATGAATTATTTTATTAGAATTGATGAGTTTTTATTTATTAACTACCTAACACCATATTATTAGAACTTTATTTTGTAATGTAATGATTTTATCAGCGTTCCAAAATAATTTTCTAAATCAAGAACTTCTATATTAAAAAAAGTACTCATTTAACAACTAATCCCCCCTTATAACGACGTTTTTCATAATTTTGCGAAAAATGTGGTTTGCTTTCACAATTCGATTAAGGCTGTTTTAGTTAACCTTAAATAATTAAGTAAGGTTTTTTTGTTTTCATTATTGTCAAACAATTAGTGTATTTGATAATAACTATTAGGAATATATTTTTCTAATTTTTTTTTGATAAAAAGTAACATCAAATTACAAAAATTTAGCCAAATTCAATATATGTCATATTTATTCTAAACTAAAAGAAGTTTTTCTACTAATGCATTAAATGTCATAAGGTAAAACATTTTATTGATGTCTTAATTGTTTTTACAAAACAAAATTACCTCTTATATTTCAAAAGTTATAAAAGTTTTAGTAACACCCCTTTAGTCAATATTTTCAAAAATTAACAAGAAGCCGTTAAGCTCGGTTTGAAACAGCCGTGGGCAAAGCAAAAAAAAAAAAAAAAAAACAGCTTTAACTAAATAACACTTGACATTAAAAAGAATGATTTTCACTTATCTTATTTGTTTGTTTTTTAAAGAAGAAAGCAAAAATATAAATTGCTATCTGTTTGTAAAATATAATTGCATAATTTTAATGTATCAAGTATATATTTTCCCTATATGAAAACGTCTATGTAACCGATTGTCTACTTTGTGACCAAATCCGTAAATCTGGGCACCGCAGAAAATAATAGGCTATTTGGTAATTTGGCTTTATTTAACTTTTTTATTCCATTATTATTTTATTTCTTAATTAGCTTATTAAGATTTTATTTTATTAAGTGTAAAACAATGTTCTTTTTAAACATTTACAATGTTATTGTTATTAATGCAGATACAATTTATAAAAATGATAATATAAACAATTTTAAATGATGCTTTTAAAGAATATAAATTAAATTAAATAAAAAAGATTTTTATAGATTTAATTTTTCATTAAAAAAATCATCGTTTAATAATAAATAGTTTATAATTTACTATTAAAGAATGCATAAAAAAAAAGTTTTTATTTGTTTATTTATTTGTTATATTTTATAAGTTTAGTTTCTTTGTTTTATTTGTTATTATTTTATTTAACTGGTTTACTTGTTTTTATACTTCTTTTATTTTTATAACTACAACAATTTTCACGGTATGTTGACATGATCTAAAAAATGATTGGTCCAATTTTATCTGATTGTCTTATTTAAGCCGATAAGAATTACATTTTCAAAATTAAACCAATGGGATCACAGAGAATTTGGTTACTTTTTGGTCATTTCTGGATACTTTTTATATATTTCTAAAAATATCTTGCAAACTTGCTATGTAATGCATGCATATACTTTTATATATAAATTTTTTTTTATTATATAATTATATTTATTTCTAATTAAGTATACACACTTTTTGTTTGTTTAAGGTATTTACTTCATGGAATGTCTGTGGTTCAAATCCCCTCCTATGTCAATTTTTTTTAAATTATTTTTTCTTTTAAATACAATTGATCATAACCCTATAAATTTTATCTTTTTTTGTATATAAAATATCTTTTTGTTGTATGTTTTTGAATGAAACACATCTCTTTCAATTCAGATTTGTTATATTATTTAAACCCTTCAGTATATTTTTACTAAGTAAGCCACACGCACATATATACATAGTTTTTAAGCTTCAATCAGCCCATGCCGTCTACACATTTTTCATAAAGCCTTAACTGTTTCATATTACTTTTCTATTCCTGGACATTTTTTATCCCCAATATTTTAGCGGTTTGTAATTTTGAATACCTTTTCAACATTTGGCACTGTGCGTTTAGTTCAACCCAGCCCAAACCTTTTGGTCTACTATGTTATTGGTAAACAATTATAAATAGTAATTATTATTGTTATGCGATTATTAATAATAATTGTTAATAATTGTTTACATATATTTCACCAATAATATACTAAACCAAAAGGGAGGGGGCAGGTAGAAAAACCAGAATAATTTAGGAAGAGGTGGAATTCAAAGATTTCTATTACCACCATGTCCCTGGTAGTACCTCGCTTAACTTGTTTCAATGTGCAGCGGCCTTGTTTGTCAAGGTTCGTGTTTCGGAGTTATAAAGTTTAGAGAGGGTTATAACCACTATTAAGTAGCTTCCTCGTCTGTAGTGGCCTTCTTGGCCTTGAGGAGGTGAATAACAAAAAAAAAACAAAAAAAAAAACATTTCACTTTAAAGAAGCAGTAAAATCTTGAAGCACTTTTTTTTTTTTGAGAAAAAAAAAAGTGCTTTAAGATTTATTTATTATATTTAGCTACTTTAAGATACTCTACTATAGCATATATAGATTAGCAATTGCTTATTCATTTTGCTTATCTTTACAGCATACAGCTTTTTCGAAAAATAAAGTAGAGTAATGAAAGAAAAAATTGCTGCTCCAGCTCAAACCTTCAGTATATATATATATATATATATATATATATATATATATATATATATATATATATATATATATATATATATATATATATATATATATATATATATATATATAAATTTCAAAAACAATAAAAATTTTACTCAATATTTATTATTATAAGTTTTATTGCATAAAAATTATTTTTAGCAAAAAATTAAAAAAAGCCATTTGTTCATGGTTTTTGGTTGAAATTTTTTTTCAAGGTTTTTTTAACAAAAAATCATAACTATTTTTGAAATTTTTATAAAGTTTCACTTCTTTGGAGACCCAACATGACATACATTTGAAAAACTTTTTTTTCTTCTGTTTAGGGTCTCGTTGCAAGTTTCAGACTTAATGTGGCCCCCCTAAATCTCATTCAATTTTGAAAAAATTTAATAGTGTGTCAACAGATGGTTTTAAGAATAAAGATAGATCAAATTTTGAAAGTATGGGGTGTTTGATGCACCCTAATATATATATATATATATATATATATATATATATATATATATATATATATATATATATATATATATATATATATATATATATATATATATATATATATATATATATATATATATATGTATGTATATATATATTTATATAAACGCTAACATAGACATTATTTTTTAAAATCAACTAGTAAAGAAGTTACCTGAGGCTTATCTTCATCATATACTTTCAAAGAATTCATATACTCTAAATGTTTTTTTTCTTCTTCTAATTGAACAACAGTCTGCTCACTCAACTGTAACCTTTGTTGAGCTGTAGACAACTCTTCTCGCAACCATGCATTTTCTTGGCAAAGTCTACGAACTTGTGCCTTTAACTTTTGCTTTTCAGCTTCAACCTGACTTAAATGATTGCATAATGCTATCATGACCTGAATATAATATTTATAACTAAAAGATTATTATTTCATTAAGGTATAAAAATTGAAAACAATTTTGGACTTAGACATGTTTATGAAAACTTTTTAATATATTATTAGCATTTTTTCTGCTAATAAATAAAATTCTAATATAATCAGATAAATATAAAAAAATAACATTAAAATGTGCATAATATAATTATGTAATTTTTAAAAAAACATAAAAAAAAAAAAAAAAGTTATGATTATTATTAACGATGCTTCAGAATATAAGAATGAAATTCAATTGTACAAACTGTAAGCTGACTTAATATTTTCTCTTTAAAATTTTGATAAAGCTTCTTGTTTAGCTAATTACAAACAGGATTCCCAATGTTTAATAAATTGATAAAAATAACAAAAAACATTCCCAATATTGAATAAATTGATAAAAATAAAATTATCTATGCTTTTAAAATTCTTAGATCTATGATTTATGCAAATTATTTATGCCTCTTGAGTCTAAATTATCTACATTCACACCAAGCATAAATTTATACTCAAATTTTTTCTTCTAATTTATTTAATTACTTATATTTATGCTAATTTATCAAACTGCATAAGTAATGTTTAAACAAGGTCTGCACAAATTTAACAAGATCACAAGAGGCTAACTTTCTTTTAAGATAAATGAACCAGCATTTATTTTTTTCAATTTTTATTTATTCAACCATTTTTATATATGTACTCATTAATACTTAAACACCTTATAATATAACTACTAATGCATATGATGAGTACAAATGAAAAGTTTAAAACACATTCAGAATAAAAATGCACGAAATATATGGTGTAGATCACAGCAGTATCACAGCCTGTTATTGTTTCAGTTCTAATTTGGTTTATTAATATTATTTAATCAGAGCCTATATTAGCATGTTAACAATGAACAAAAACTTTATAACATTAAACAAATCAACTTTGCTCACAACATAGTAAATGTTTTTATTGCTAACGCATTGCATTATCATTTTTTTGTAGATTAAAACATTAAAATTGACAATTATTTCAAAACACTAAGACTGAGATCCATAGTACTGTAGAGTTACCACTTTATGACCATCATTCTTGGTAGTTCTTACTAGTAACTTTTAACTAACAAATAGTTTGTTTTTTTTCTCAGTGATATCACTTGTGTTATAAAAATAAAACTATAAAACCAATGATGCAGAGAAAAATTAAAACAAATAATGTTAATAATAACTTCTCAAGGACTTAGAAAAATGGCATTGTTGCATATCTTTTCTCTGTACTTTAATTTGAACCAAGATTAATTTTTTCCCTTTAAATTTATATACTCTCTCTACAAAATAAAATAGCCTGTTGTAAAATTTTAAAAACAACACCTAAAATCTATAAAAAGTTTTTACAAGAACTTTCAGGGTTATGATTTTTGAAGGTTTTACACATAATTTTTAAAACTTTTACAATTCCTAAAGCTAAAATGGTTAAAGCTAAAATGGTTAAATCTAAAATGGTTAAACTAATTGAATGAGTCTAGAGTGTTTAGATAAAAATAAAAATGAACACTAAATGCATGAAATCTTTAAAAAATCCTTGATAACTACTGTATGTGTGTTAAATAAAATGAAATAAATTTAAACTACCTGTCCTTCGCCAAGACCCAACTCTATTTTCTCAAGTGACTTACGTATAAAATCAACTCTGTGAAAAGTCTCGTAACTGGCATCTGTTAAGTCTCCAAACTTTTCCATAAGTCCATTGTGCTCATTCTTAAGGGTTTCCAAACCGCGTAAAACATTTTTAGTACTGGATATAATATTATCTTGGGAATTTTTTTCACCAAAATATTCTAACCCTGTCATTTTGATTTCATTCTAAAAGAGAAAATAAAATATAACAATAGCGTGAAAACTGATTTGTTTTGAATATTATTTGATATTTTAAAAAAAATTTTTTAAATATCAAATAATATTCAAAATAAATCATATTTTTGAAAAGTAAAAGTATTTTTGTAACCCAGGTTTAACTAATTTTGAAATACTATTTTTTTTATAAAGGGTCTCAAGTATTATATATTCTATTTTATTCTATTTTTGTAGTAAAATTGCAAACTTTAAAATGCTATTTCTTAATGGAACTGCAAGCTTTTGTGTGAGCTGTTCAAACAAGTTTAATGCTTTTAAACTTGTTTGAACAGCCCACACAAAATGTAGTGCCACACTTGTATGATATTGATTTTTAGGATGAGTCTTTAAACTTTATGCTTTACACAAGTTTAGTATTACTTAACATCAAAATTAGTATCGATGCATCAATCCACCTACTTGATTAAGTTCATATTTTAATTAAAAATTACTAATTTTATACCTATTACTAAAATATTATTATAATATTTACCTATTAATAAAATATTATTATAATATTTACATCAAAAAAATTAATTAAACACTTATTATTACACTAATTATTTTCAAAAAAATTTTAAATTTAATCACATATGTTCCAAATAATGGAGACTTTATGCAGAGCAGCTGAATAAATTTTCTAGCTATAAATCTAGTTTCATGACATCCTAGTTGTAGTGAGGAAAAAATGCAATGAAATAATATATAAAAGGATATGTAAATAGTGTTCAATGCAAAAGAGAGGCAGATAGTTGTGAATGTTGAATGGCGGATAGTTTGAGCGTTGAATGGCAGATAGTTGTGAATGTTAAATGGCTGATAGTTTGGAGTGTTGAATGGTAGATAGTTATAAATGTTGAATGGCATGTAGTTGGGAGTATTAAATAGCAGATAGTTGTGAGCGTTGAATGGCAGATAGTTGTGAGCGTTGAATGGCAGATAGTTGTGAATAAGTTTTCTAAAACATTTTCTAGAACTTTATTCTGATAAAATAATCTTGATTATTTTTTATTCTGACACAGTAATCTTAATTGTGATATAAAATTTTTTATTAATCGTTAACTTTATGTTGGAGTAATCTTAATTGTGATATAAAACTTTTTATTAATCATTAACTTTATGTTTTTTTTAACCAATCTTTATTTGAGAAAATTAAATTAATTACTCTTTACTTTAATTAAAAATTCAATTAACCACTCTTTATTTGAAAAAATCTTATTTAGATGCATCTAATTTTTTGGATGATTTTAAATATTTTAAATATAAGACAAGAAATTATAAATAAATAAAATTCCTTGTAAATGCAGAAGAACTTTAAAGAAAATGTTTGCACTTAATCAAAATTTTTACATTTACTAAATAGATAGATAAAGATAGAGTTTTGTTGAACCTAATGAATAGTATTACTTCTACTAACTAGGTAGAACAGCACAACAAAACAATCATTTTACCTTTGTTTGCATTTTAACTTATGGCTTAAAATAAAAAATTGATTTTTATGACTTTTCAATGTTTTGCATGCATGTCAAAAAATTTGTATGGCAAGAAAAAACTTTGTATTTGTAAATGTCAAATTTGAAAATATAGCAATTTTCAAGTCAGAAACAACACTTGTATCTTAAGGCCTCAACAAAAACAATCATTATAACCCAATTGAAAAACAACATATACATTTCTAAATAGAAAAGACCAAAACAATAAAAACAGGTAAAACACCATTAAAAAAATCATAAAGAAAAACCAATCCTGGTAAAAAACAGTCCTGGTTAAAAAGACTATGCATTATTATTAAAAAAAAAAAAAATAGACCAATAATTATTGATTGAAACCTTGGACTTTGGGGAGGTGAGTATACTTTTAAAATATCAACAAATTTGTCTGAACTACTTCAGTTCAGATTTTATTCATCTGAATTACTTGCCACACAGATTAGTAGTTTTAAAAAAAACATATATGATATAGATTTATTATACAATAAATTTACATTTAGATTTTAGATATTCTTTACAAAAAATCAGTAATCTAGATGCTTTAGTTAAAACAAAATACTAAATCTGCACCAAAAGATATTAAAAAATCAGATATCAGTATTTACATTAGATATTGAAGTAACATATATAAAAAAATGCATACACTTTTGAAGGTGTGGGTAACTAGTAATATACATATAAAAGAGATTTATTAAAGCAAAAAATTTATATTTTTGCAATGTTTTTTTTCTTCTTTTAAAAAAATTTTACACACTCAAGGTTAGAACTATTATGTTCAGCAAAATATATTAGTACAGCCTTATAATAATGTAGAATATGTGTGTGTGTTTATATATATATATATATATATATATATATATATATATATATATATATATATATATATATATATATATATATATATATATATATATATGTATATATATATATATATATATATATATATATATATGTATATAATATATATATATGTATATATATATATATATATATATATATATATATATATATATATATATATATATATATATATATATATATATAATATATATATATATATATATATATAGATATATATATATATATATATATATGTATATATATATATATATATATATATATATATATATATATATATATATATATATATATATATATATATATATATATATATATATATATATATATATATATATATAACACACAGTGGTTACATTGATATATAACCGTATTTCATTGTTGACACTATATGAAAATTTTAAAATAGCTTTAAAAACAAATGCAAAAATGTGAAATAACTAGTACTATTTCATTTATTTTTTCAATATAAATGAAATAATAATAGCTTGAATGAAATTTCTGTTAATTCAAAAAAAATCTTTTTATTTTTTCTATTATATAGATTTTACGTACAACTTACGTAATCAGGTATAAACTTTGCATAAATTTTTTTTTATTTAATAAATTTTTTTGTTTTCAAATAAGTAATAGATAATAAATAATATAACAAATAAATAATACAACAAAGCTGCCGATTAAAAACAAAGAGTTCCGACGCAAACACACCAACAAAATCGTGAACCATAAACTTGCATTGATTGGTTTATTTATCAGTGTATCAGTACGTAGTAACGTATCTGGATGAACTTGCAATGCCGAATTTGGATTTATGAGCCCTCATTTTCTAATTTTCATTTCATAGATAAATCATTGTTTATTTAAGCATGATATATTACAGTATTGCAAAGTTTAAATATATAAAAAGTCGTATACGGCTCTTTAATTATTTGAATAACCAATGATTAAACATTTTATTTAACTATTGATTATTTAGGGAACTTTTTAATTGGAAGAACCCGTCCTCTTTTTTACCAGAGGCGATTTAAGGGGAGGGAGTGTCCCACCCCCAAAGCAGATGATTTTCAGTTAAAGCCGGTTTTTTTACGAAAATTATTCAGCTAGTCAGATATTTTACACAATTCAGCCAGGTATATTTAAGTTATAAGGACCATTTTTTTTTAAGGAACTAGTCGGTACTTTTTATGGATTCATCCCCTCCCCCTCATTTTTCTCGTCTGCTTATTACCAATTCACCAACAAGCTAAAGCAAACTGTTGGTTTTTATACTCATTCTATTTTTAGGTTACTTGCTGTGTTTCTCTATATATACGTTACTCGCTGGCTCAACCGTGTCTCTCTATATATACGTTACTCGCTGGCTCAACTGTGTTTCTAGTATAATAACTACTTTATAACTATATTTTTAAGAAAGAAAAAAAAAAGTTTTTTTTAATGTAACTTTTTTTTTTTAAACAGTGTTACAATTTTTACTAAAAAAACACATTGAAATTCGCTAAAAGGAAATCATAAAAGCGCGATTGTTATTTAATTTGAAGTAAAGAATTCAACTTCCAATGCTTTATAAAACTCTTTAAGATAAATAAAGAGTAAGCAGATTTAGAAAAATATTTTTAAAAAGTTAGCAAAAAAAAATACAAACCTTAAATTTTCAAAACAATTTATACTGCTGAGTTTCGGCAGCTATATTATACAACTGATATAAACAATAACAATGTCTAGTCAATATTCATAATATTGGTGTTCCATCACATGTGTTCCATCATAATATTGGTGTTCCATCACATGTGGTTTCGTATTTAAAAAAATAACTGCGTTTAAAACAATCAACTTTAATATTGCTAATTTAAAAACGTTATAAAAACAACAGCAAATATACAGTGTTAAGTTGCTATGTTACAATGTTAAATATTGTAATAAATATGGAGTTTTTTTGTTTATTTTTTTTACTTAACAAAACACGTTTACAAAAAAAAACAAAAACTTAAGACGCAATTTTAATAACAAAAATTATATGATTATAATTATTATATTAAACAATTAGATTATTTTCATTAAACTTTTTGTACATATTTTAATATTGTTTATAATTTAATTTACTTTTAGGGTTCAATCTTTATTTCCATTTAGCTAATTTACATGAATAAAAATTTACATGAATAAAATTTTTATGAATAAAAATTAGAAACCATAATTTTTTATTAATTTTTATGGACCGATTGCTTATAAAGCCTGACTTTACAGTAAAAAAAAATATTTTTTTTGCATATTAAAACATTGTTCTCATACAATTTTAAGAAGACTCTCTCTTCCTCACGGTTCATTCACTAGGATTTCACGTTCAAATCCCGACTCCGTCTACTTAGCGTATGAGTAGTCAGTCATACGCTAAGTAAGAGGTTAGTCTCGATTAGCTTTCCTACGCTCACACACACACACACACACACACAAACACAAACACACACACACACAAACACATACAGACAATAATAATCTATCCTTTTTGCATATCTAAAACTGATTGCAGTTTATTCTATTAACAAGTTTTCTTTTTATTATATAACTGATCACTCAATATTATTTAAATTTCAAAATTTAAATAATATTGGTTTAAATTTTGAAATTCAAAAATGGTTTAAATTTTGAAATTCGAATTATTAACACTGATTAATTAAATGAAACAAAACAATATTTTGTTTCAATGCATTGAAACAAAATAAACCCTTAATGATTAAGTTAGTAAATAGTTTTCTTTAAACTTGCGTTTGATAAAATGTATATGATTTATTTACATAGATTAGCGCTTCTTTTGCAATATTTTATGGAGAGTGTAAGTAGTCACTGTGTATATGACTTATATAAATTTTTATCGTGGCATAGCTTGTTAAATAGAATGTCACAGTTACAGCTTTTAAATACCTCTTTAACATCCAATGAGCCAAAAGTTTTTATCGTAGAGCTCAATTCTTTTCAAACAAATGCAGAATTAGAAAAATATTTTAAAAAAGTTTTTATTTTAAATATTGCTATAACATTAATTTTTAGGGTCCGTCAGAGCAGTAAAGAAGAATTAAAGTTTTTTTTCGTCTTTAATGAGGAAATGTAAATAAGTTTCTTTTTCGTCATTAATATAGAATATAGATAAAATAAATATAATTTTTTTTTGTCATTAATAGAGAAATAAAGAAGTTTTTTTTGGAATTAATAGATAAGTAAAGAAGTTTTTTTGGTCATTAGTAGAAAGGTAAAAAAGTTTTCTTTCGTCATTAACAGAAAGGTAATGAAGCTTTTTTCATATATGGCATTTTCAAATAATCATACTTGGAAAATCGTTTATGTTTTGTTTATTATTTTCAATTTACTCTCATTTAATTCTAATCAATATAAATATTTTGTCGACAAAGAATGGTACACATTAGTATCAAAGAATAATTAAAGCTTGAAACAAAATTACACACACAAAAAATAACGAACTTTAGATACTAGATTAATAAACTTTAATTTCTCGGAAAGTATAAGTTTTAGCAGTATATATATATATATATATATATATATATATATATATATATATATATATATATATATATATATATATATATATATATATATATATATATATATATATATATATATATATATATATATATATATATATATATTATATATAGTACATGGCTGATGATTGCCGTACAGGCATGAAACTATTAGTCCCATGAAAAGTTGTTTTTTCTATATGTAAATAAATAAATATATATATATATATATATATATATATATATATATATATATATATATATATATATATATATATCGCTCTAGTTAGAAAGTTGTTTACTTTCTTTATTATTGAGCACTCTTAACCGAAATAGAGTTTTGTATTACTTTTGTAATACAAATTTAACATCAATCGATATATATATATATATATATATATATATATATATATATATATATATATATATATATATATATATATATATATATATATATATATATGTATTATATATATATATATATATATATATATATATATATATATATATATATATATATATATATATATATATATATATATATATATATATATAAATATAAATATATATATATATATATATATATATATATATATATATATATATATATATATATATATATACATAAGTTTTTAAATAATTTTTTATATATAAGTAAAGATTTCCAGTATTTCTAGTGAAATATTATATCTCTACAACTCATACTTAATATATTTTCAATGAGAAATAGCCGAGTATAACATTTAAAAAATTATTGTAAAATTTTTAAACTATTGTGACATAACAAAAAAGTATATATAAAATGATAAAAATATACACATTTAAAGATTCAGGTAACCTAAAAAATAGTTAATATTTTTGTTTACAATTGCTCTTTAAGATAATCATAATAGAAAGCATATTCCCTCAAGTCTTAGCTTCTAATTGTAAAAACAAAGAAAAAAAAATCACGATCAGAAATGAAAATGCTTTCAGTGGAATTTAAAAATGGAAAAAAAAAGGAAAATAGAATCACGTGAGCATGCTTGGAAAAATGTAAACATGCTCACGTATTTATTTTACCTTCTCTTTCTCGTTCCCATTGAAAAACGGAAAAGTGGAAAGTCACTTTTAGTATAAATTATAAGCAATAGCAGTTTCAAAATCTAAAAAGCAAGTACTTGACGCTATATATTTTATATGTTAAGTAATCAACTAGAGCTATATTATTATTATATTATTACAGTTTCGTGTTTATTGACTTGATAATATTTTATTACATTTTATAAAATCAATAAACTATTTCCTTTTTATTAACTTTTTGTAAAATTAAATGTGCATAGATGTAGAAAAGACGCTCAGTAGCAAAAGTGCAACGTACGCAGTTAAAACCGTTAACTACTGGAGGCGATAAAGTTAATTATACCGAATGCAATTTTGCAGCATTTTTTATCTAATAAGTATATTTTAACCCTAAGTATTTATATAAAGTAGGATAGATAAATCGTTTTTAATTAATCTTTTAGTCACAAAGTGCTACTCTGCAAAATAATTACAAAAAACAATTCTCATTACAACCGCAGTTTCGTATTACAATGCGATTTCAAACTTACTTGCTTTACTTTGTTTGCGTGTTTGCGTCCTATCCTTTTCTGATTTGTTTATCCACTTCACTTTTAAAAAGCAATGAAATTTAAACCTTTGTTGTTTTAGTTGTTGTTGTCGTAGCCGCAGCAAGGAAGGGGTACTGGGTGCTTTGTACCTGGGCGCAGTAGCAGGAGGGGCGCTTAGTAGCCGATTTTTTTTTTAACTTTATTAAAATAGATTAATAAGGCATAAGGATAGAGCGTTTTCTCAGGGTTGAAAATCTAGGAGAAAAAAAAAAAAAGCGGGCATTGCGAAGGTAATTAAGGATGTCTAAGATCAAGTTTAAAAAATGGAGGTTTTTTAAGCTAAAAAACCTTCGTTTTTTAAAATGCGAAGTCAAGGATAGAACAACTGAGCTAACTTATCTGATGTGCAAAAAAGAGTACAAACAATTATACTTCAGAAGAATTCTCAAGTACTTTACATGGCAGACAGCGCTCATAATCTTAACTTAGCTGGTGTTCATTCCACTGAATCTTCCGTCAAAGTGAAAAACTATTTTAGTCAGGTTCAATTGCACCTTTTTGTAGGAGCTATAAAAAAAATTAAAGCAATAAAAGTTCTTGGGCGAGAAGGCTGTTTCTTTATCAAATTTTGCAAACCCAATGGAGTGTACGCGTTGAGGTTGTGAAGCCGTTGGTTAGGCAACCTAGGGAAACTTTTGTATCTTTGCAGAAACTTTGTGACCTTGATTTAACTTCTGATCTATAGAATGAAGTTTAATCTTTGAAGAAATGTATTTTATTTGAATTCATAATTATAACAACTATTTGGTTTAAAGTTCTTCCAGCAATAACTTATGCCAGCGTCTCATTTCAATCAGAAAGCATTTCCTTATATGATAAGATGAAACTTATGAAGACTCTTATTAAGAATCTCATCAGACTTTGATCTTCTTGGCCCAAATTCATTTATAAAGCACATTTGATTGCCTCCGGTCAAGAAAGTTTTGGTTTTCAATCAGAATTTTTTGAAAAGCAGAAAACCAAGAGGGAAGTTCACAAAAACCAAGAATGAAGTTAATTTCCACAAAAATGAAAAGAAGCAGTTAAACGTATTCAACACCACTCTCGATACTCCAATTCAAAAAATATAAGACAGGTTTTAAGCTAAAAAAAAGAAGACAAACAGTTTTTCTTTTAAAATCTAGTTGTAGGTCGAGTGAAAAAGAACCTCCAAGCTAGGTGGTTGAACCACCTAACTTGGAGGGAACCACCTAGCTTGGAGGAAACCACCTAGCTTGGAGGGAAAATGCAAAACTTTGGCGTAAGTCATTGTGAACCATGGGGACAAAAAAAACTTATTAGAGAAGTTCATCATCTAGATTTTCTAAAGCGCGCCAATTTTTTCCGTCCAATAATATTTCTGACTTTGATATTGAGTGATATCTACCAGAAAGGCCTACAAAATGAAATTATACTTATTTGACAAAAATCACGTTCAGACATTTTAAAATACTCTTTAAATTAGTTTCCAGTAAAAAAAAAATACGAGCACTTAATTAATGTGACAGACTGACTGTAGCAAATAGCCCATTAATGTAAATGTTTAAAACTTTTAAATTAAAAAAAGATAGCAAATCCTCAGCTGATAAAATTTTTTTTTAAATAAAACTGTTTTAGTTAAATGGTATATACTTACTATTTTTCAAAGTATTGAGTAGATTTTGGAGTAATTAGAAATACACATGAATGCTAAAATAAGTTAAAGAAATTATATATATGACGTTTTTATTGCAAACTTTATAAATAATGTCAAATAAAATAAAAACTAATTTATAAATACACTTTTTTGTTTTTTATTAACATGTTTTATAATGTCATTTATAAGTAGAAGGCAAATTTCTTTTATTTTAAAAGCATATGCCCATATACTGTATAGTGGCTCTCTCAGTGTCATTTGTGTTTTTTATTCTAGGCTTTTATTCATAACGGATTTTAAACTAGCACAAAGGAGTGGAAACGTTTTTGTCCTTATTGAAGCTCTTAAGAGAATGTCAAAAAAACCAAATGTTGCCTAAATTTATCATGTTTAATTTAAAAAGAAATTTTTGAAAATTAATTGAGTCGATAGTAAGTGACATGAAAACTTTTGATTATGAACTCAATAATTACGATAATATTTGTAAAATTTTAAACGAAAAACGTGGTGCGCATCTTATCACTTTAAATGATCATCATCGTCCTTAATTACTTTAACTATTGCTTCCTTCTTCTGTTCTTTTTTTTCGTTAAATGCGCACCACGTTTTTCGTTTAAAATTTTACAAATATTATCGTAGTTATTAGAGTTCATAATCAAAAGTTTTCATGTCAATTACTATCGACTCAATTAATTTTCAAAAATTTCTATAGCCACAAGAGAAAATTATTTTCTACTTTTTAGTTCATTAGAAAAACGTGGTTTTATAAAAAGTTTTTTTATTTGTTATATTATTTTATTATTTTTTATATTTTGTAAACAACTGATTTTGTTTTTATGCTGCGGTCCATTTAAAATCACAGCGACAGTTAAATTCGGTTTTTTTGTTCGAAAATTTTTTTATTTAAAGCGACGCGTCAAATTGCGGCGACGCCTCCAAAAGTTGTCATTGTCATCGGGTTCTGAGTAAAAGTTTCAGAGCTCTAGCTAATCGAAAAGTGGGTTAAAATTGAGTTGCAAAATTCCACCCGGACAAACAAACAAACAAGAAAGCGAGCTAATAAAAACGTGGTAAAATAAAACTCATTTCTCAATCTTTATAACTCTACTAGAGGTACTAAAAAAGAATGCTAAAATTGAACGAGGTAATTTTTTTCTGTTGAAACGAGGCATTATTGATTTATTTTTTGCTCTTGTACGGATAAATCCATCTTGTCTCTTTATACTATATCCCTCAATTGCTTTTCGTTTCCTTTTAATCTTTATGTAGTCTTTTGATCATAATTTAAGACTGCTCTTCTCTTTTTTTCTCTGCGAATAAATTCTAATTCTATTATAAGAATCCTCACTGGCTTTTCACATTTATAGTCATTATGAACTTTTTTTTCACACCCCAGACAACTTGATTCTTTACAGAATAAAATCGCACATTTGCAGTAAGTTATATCAAACAGTTGTGACATATACTTCATTATTTTGTCATATTCTACTTTTTTTGGTTAATCCTTTTCTGCAAATATCTTGAACATCATTATAAACTTTTTTGACCTGCCAATGATATAAGATAAGTATCTGTAAAAATAACTGGAGATAAAAAGTCTGAGTTTGCTTTTTCCCATTGTTTAACAATTTCCAATCTTGTTTCCCTAACCAAATCATCTTATGGATAAACTTTCTTTTCTGACAACTCTTTTTTTGGTTAATCTTTTTCTGCAAATATCCTGAACATCATTATAAATTTTTTTGATCTGCCAATGGACTTATCTGTAAAAATAACTGGAGATAAAAAGTCTGAGTTTGCTTTTTCCCATTGTTTAACAATTTCCAATCTAGTTTCCCTAACCAAATCATCTTATGGATAAACTTTCTTTTTTGACAACTCATTAATGAGTATAGCTTTAGGAAGAACAGAACCAAGAGTTGGTGGAATAAAGTCTCTTCCTTTTCCTTAAGATAAATTTTATAATATTATCTTTATTATTGTTATATTATAAAATTAAACTAACATTTTATCGATATTATTATATTAACACATAAGATTAGTAACAAACAATTAATATTAATTTAGAATTTGTTATTTTTGAATATTTGAAAAATATTATTTGTTAAAGTTATTGCTTTCAATGTCAATCAAATTTTTTACAAGAAAATGTATTATTCATGACTTAATGTTCATAATATTATATTAATAAAATATTATATACAATTTTAAAATAAAGCAATTATGTTTTGAAAAATTGTATTCCAATTAAATCAGACATTGTCTTTTTTCTTGTTTTTATACCACTCATTTTAAAATCTCTTTAACGTCGACGGTATAAAATATCGTCGAGGTTATAATTTCCTATGAAAAACTGTTTAATTTTTGAAGAAATTTATGCGGTTTTTTTTATTGCTTCGGTATAAAAATATATTTACGCTTCAAAATAATTTTCAGGTCAATAAAATATAGCAATAAATAAATTTTTAGCAAATGAAGACTTATTAATAGCAGCTTTATTTTAACAGATTTTAAATTTATATACTTTCAAGTCAAAAAATACCAAGGGCCGAGTGCTTATTATAAAAAAAAAAGCTTTTTGAAAAGTATGGGATGTCCTAATCTACATCATTACAATTTAAAAAACCTTTGCATAAGTTTTATAGTTGGTAGAATACTACTTTAGTTCTTAGATTGCTTTTGAAGGCTCAAAGAAACAAACTAATTGTTAATTAATAAAAAATAGAGAACTTCGCTATTGGACGCACTTAATAAAACGGTTTTGTATTAAATTATTTAGGTTAAATTAAACATGTTTTGTATATTCCTGATCCTAGGTAAATGCAAACATTCTAGACTTTATCCGCCAGTCATTCTCTAAACTCATTTAGTGACCGTGGAACCGACTCCTTAGTAAAAGTTTAAAATATTTATTTAATTTTTCAAGATACTGACGCATCTTTGCTGCGTAAATTATCCCAATAAAAAAGGAGTGTCACGAATGTCTTTTTTAAAATTAATATACCCCTCAAAATCCTAGAAACTCAATAATATCTGTAAGATATTGGAGTTTAAAAAAAGAAATCTTCAGACAATTTTTAAATCGACTACAATAAAAATATGAATATAAGAATATCGCGCTATTCTCATTATGAAAAAAATATCTTTAATATAGCATTGTTTGAAGATAAACTACTGCATTTTACATTATAAATACGACGTCAGTATAAATACTACGTTATAAAATTAAACTGAAACTATTTTAAGAGCTTCATTTAAAAAAAAGTATATATAAAAAAAAGAGGGGATCAGAAGCCATAAGTTCTTGCTTTTACCTATTAAAGGAATGTTTTCTAGAATATTAAAAAAGTAATCAATAACACATCATTAGTAACTGAATTATATTGCTTTTATCAAATTTATTTAAATTATATCTTTGATGATGACTTTGTAATTTTGGCCGTTAATATAAAGATAATTAAACACCTTTTAACATTTTAAATAAAAGCTCCCCACAAAATCGTTTTTAAAATGAAATAATCAGCATAATTTCGTAAAATAAAAAATAAATTATTCTTTTATCATAACTTCACATTATTCTTTTATTATAACTTCACTGCGAATAACAAAAATTTATTTGACGAAGAAGGATTGGAAAAGAAATGAACTTTTTAAACCAACCAATTAAATCTTATGGTGACTGCCCAAAGTCTCGTGTGGGTACATTTCTTTTTCTAGGCCTAAGATTAACTCTTTTTTCAGCTCCGTTCAAGTCAGTTTGTTCTTTATTTCTCATTTTATAAGTCTCTTTTACAATAGGCTTCCGCGTCATATTTTCCAATACGGGTTTTCTTGTTACGGTGTGACCGGATATTGTAAACAAATCGGAATGTTTTAACGAAGAAATATCATTTTGATTTATAGGCAAATGTGAATCGTAAGTTAAACATGCAGGATCAGCTGGACTGGAATCAGTCTAAATTAAAATAATAAAAAAAATACTATATATAAAATATCACGTGACACAGTAGTATTTATTGCTTTATTAGTATTTGTAAATGCCTAATTTATTGTTACCAGTAAGGGATTGTAACGCAGCACAATAATTTCATTTAGATCTCAGAGTTCCAAGTTTGAACTAAATTAAAACATATCGAAACAATGAAATTGGTTGTATTTTTGCCTGTTTATTGAGGACCTATTCACTGTGGTGCAGAATAATCACCTGGTTTGACTTTTCCTGTTTTATTTACAATCTTATTTCATATATACTCATTTACATATATGAAAATAAATATTTAATGATAAAAATTTCCAATCGAAAAATGCAAGAAAAAAACAAAACAAAAAACAAAAGAATAATTTAAAGTTAAATATTTGATATTTCCAATTTTTCAATCAAATCTTTTTGTATTTAAATTACTTAATAGTTATATAAATAAAAATGTTGTGGAACTGTTAAGCCAAGCATTTAAATGTTGTGGAACTGTTAAGCCAAGCATTTACCTTTAAAGGGATGTTTAAACTGTAAAAAATTTAGTTGATGCAACATATGCATTGGGATGTTTGTGTAACTGTTTTGATCAGTTTTTTTTTTTAACTTTTCCCGACGGGCATTTGTTTTTAAAAGTTACGTTCTAAATGTGTTTTAAACGTCTTTTAAACGTCTTTTAAACATTAATGTTTAAAAGACGTTTAAAAGACATTTAAAATACATTTAGATCGTAACTTTTAAAAACAAATGCCCGTCGGGTTGTTTTAGGAACAACAAAACGTGTTCAAAAAAGTGAGTAACATAGAAATCAAAAAGGAAAATATATTCAAAAAATTGCTACTTACCGCAAACCACCGTAGATGGGACTACGGAGAAAAAAATAATTTACATGGTGTTAACCTTGCTGATCTTAACCAAGCTAGTATTAATCAAGCTGGTTTAAACCAAGTCTTTAGGAACAATTATCCAGCTTATAAAATGTTTAAAACTAATCCCGACAAGAAAATTTTCGTGTCGATAAGAAAATTTTCATATTTAGATTAAGTCATGGTTTCTAAGTAACATTAAAAAAAATGTGTGAAAAATCAACTACAATTTTTTTAAAACTATATTTGTATAGCCAGCTATTTATTTAAACTTTGATTGATTTTAATTTTTTTAAAATATAAAAAAAAAAGGTTTTGAAAGGTTTAAAGAGATGTTTTTGCTTGTGATATTATTGATTTAGAAAAACTCGATTTAATTCCAATAATTAAATGCTAGAAAAAGTTTTAAGCAGAGTGTTTCACCAAAAAATAAATTTTTTGTGAATTAGATTAATTAAAAAAAATAAGTTTTTTTAATTAATCTAATTCACTCCCAACAAGGATGCAACCACTATTAAGTTGAGAGTCACTAGAAAATAAAGAATAGTGTTAAAGAGCAAGGAAACGGTTGACAGAAGGCATGAAAAATTGTAGATTGTATGAATCAGGAAACCATGAAGATGGAAGAGAGTTCTAAAGGGTTGAATAGTATTCCGTACAGGGTCTAATAAAAGATTTATAGAGGTAGAGAATGGAATCAGGAGTAAAATAATAGAAAAAAGCAACCTTAGCAAAAAAAAAGCAACCTTAGCAAAAAAAAAGCAACCTTAGCAAAAAAAAAGCAACCTTAGCAAAAAAAAAGCAACCTTAGCAAATGCTAACTTTGCAAACGATTGTTTCCATGAGGTCAGTAGTTAACGATAGAATTTTTTCAGTCACAACCATTAGCAAGTATGTCCTAGAACAAAAAAATCAAATATCATATTATTGTCAGACAGTAGGTTATTAGACTCAAGATGGGATGTTAGAAATTTGTTGATCAAAGACTTAAAGACGTTGCTAATAATAGAAAACTAGTCAGACAATAGTTGGAGGGATCAAAATGTTTTCCAGAGTTTTTAAAAATTGAAACCAGATGCCGTTTTTCCAGCAGACAGGAAAACAAGATTCAGTCAAGCACTTACTAAATAGTTGAAAGAAAATTGAACACTTTTGTAAGATAACAGGGATGTTGTCTGGACCACAAGCGGTAGAAGAATTAAATGGAAATATGACTTTAACAACGGAAACTGTTTGGCAGGAAATGGCAGGAAGAGTATGGTCATAAGATTCAAGAGTCATATTAGAAGGAAAGTTCTTTCCAAATAGTTCTACCTTATCCTTGGGAGAGGTAATAAAATCAGTCCTATGAATTAGAGATGTTAGAGCTTAACATCTCTAATTCATTGGACTGATTTTATTACCTCTCCCAAATAATAATATTATTTCTAGTGTTAATAACACTAGAAATAATATTATTTTATTCATGTTCTGTAAAATATTTTCCCCTTTATTAAGCCCCCCCATTTATTAGAGGGAAACGTTAAATCCAATCCGTCAATGTGCTGTTTGAACAGTTTTTAAAAATTCTAGACCCGATTAAGGCATTTACAATGGGATATAAATGTTATCAAATTGATATTAAACAAAAATATTATTAATAATAACATGATTAATAATAAATATTAAATACAAATGTTATTAAATATTATTAAAAATCTCAGAGTTTCTTTTATTTTAAAGTACAACTATTTTTCCTTTGGAGATTGCATCGGTCAGTAAAATTTAGATTGCACTTTGAAGGATTGGATTTAGTGTTTTCCTTTACTAGATCTTGACTAAAACTCTTAACTCCATCTTCTTAAGCACCCGAGAGTAGTGAACTGGGAATAATTCATTTTTCCTAGTTTACTAATACTAGCATTAGATAGCACTTTTTTACATTGATTTCTTGCAATAATAAATAGACGCTTGTTCTCAAGAGAGTTGTTCTTTTGTAAAAGATGAAAAAATGATTACAATTAGATATAGCAGCACAAGAAGGTGAAAACCATGAAGTAGAATTGGATTTGACTTGAACCGATAAGAAAGAATAAACATTTCCATACCTGCCTGGATCCAGGAGGTTATGTAGGAGGCACATTTATCAGCAGAGAAAGAAAAGACATCAGCCCAAAGAACGACACAAAGATGGTCACGAAAAGAATTTCGGTAGTAGTCATCATAGAATCCCAGTCAACTTTAGGGTAGTAGTAAGGAGTGTGATGATATGGTGAGTCTGAAGAAGTACAAGATAAAAGATTTATAGAGACTATTGTATGGTTGAAACCACCTAATTGAGAACAAGGAGAAACTGAACACAAGCTAGGATCAGAGACACAAATCAATCAATGAAGGTCAGTGTTTAAGGTTGTCTAGAAAATGAGTCACTGAGTTAACTCTCTGAATAAAAGATTAAGAAATACAGAAATTATAGGCTTTAATGCCAGCAGGGTCAGTAGTGTTAGAGCTAAGCCATTCAGTCTGATAAGTATTAAAGTCACCAATAACAACAATATTGGTGGAAGGGTAAAGAGAGAGGGCATGGTTAATTTGATCGAAAATTACATCTAAAAGAATGCAGTCTTGAGGAGAATGACAGAGAACAAAGAGAAAAACAAATAGATGAATTGATGCATAACTATACCCCTAAACCAAGCATATGACTATTGGAGTCTTTGCGAAATAAAAGATAGTACCCATCAATACTGAGTATCAATTTTGAAGAAGGAACAGCTGAATTTAAATTAATCTCACAAAGTGCAACCAAGTCTGGTAAATTTTGCAAGAGGTAAGATTCAACTGATGTGTTGTAGATTTTCAATGTTTAATAAACTGCTGATAAATTAATTATATAGTTGTTTTGTTGATCTACAATTATGTCAAAACTACTATTCATATAAACAAATTTAAAGTATTTTAATATCATGAAAAGCACTGTTAATTAAGTATTGATAAAACATAACACTATTTCTGTATTATAAAGCTTAGTCAAGATATTATTATGGAAAATATATAAAACTATTTTTTTTAACATTAGATGCAGATGCATTATTATGCGGCCGTGGTGCAGTGGTTAGAGCGCTTGCTTTATATGCAGGAGATCCAGGTTCAAAACGAGCTCTGGACATATTTTCGCGTTATGGTAAGGAAGGAGGCGTGAACTTCCTGGTTAAATACACTTCTGAGGTGCTGTGTGACCAATAGGTCTTTTTGTTGTTGTTTTGATTAGCGAGATTATTGCATTAAAAATTAATTTCAATACATTTTTAATACAAGGTTGCAGATCTTAGGATTTTTGACACCAGCAATGTGTCAATTATTGTAAAAATATTTTTATTACATAAACAACCTTCTCTCAATCTTTCAACTAAAAAACACTTAACAAACAAAAAAAAACAGTGTAGTTCAGGAATGTGGTGGGAAATAAACTCAGAACTTCTTGTTTACACAGAAAGCTTTCTATCAGTACTGTTTCTATCAGTTTCTTCATTACTACTACTTATTATCATTTCTACAGTATCGGACAAAACAAATGCAACCAAATAATGCTAAATTAGTTTCTTTATATAAAAGTGCTGCATTTTTTCACTTTAGAGAAATAACTATGTAACTGTTTAGAGACAATGTTCTTCAAGTTTTATTCATCACAGAGTTCATTATTTGTACACAAAAATTAATAAATTAATCAAAAGTATTAAAAAAAGTTGATTTCCTTCTGGATAAAACAAGTGCAACTCCACAAAATGTTGACCAACCTGTATTTCGCTATCAATATTTCGTTGGCGAATCCTTTGTTGTTGATCACAGCCTTGCATCTTCGAGGCATAGATTTGATCAGGTGATCAATGAAACTTTGTGGAATTGCTGCCCAGGCCTTTTGGATTTGTTCAAACAGTTGATCCTTATTACAAACACCTTCACGAATAATTCTGCGGTTGACACCCACAGGTTCTCGATAGGGTTGAGATCCGGAGATTGAGGCGGCCAATCCATCACTGATAGATGGTTGATTTGAAACCACTGCTTGACTACTTTTGCAGTGTGTTTTGGATCGTTGTGTTGCTGAAAAACCTATTTTATTGGCATATTCCATTC